TTATTAGACCATGATAGAGCCCCCCATCACTCTAACATGTTATTAGATCATGATAGAGCCCCCCATCACTCTAACATATTATTAGACCATAAGAGACCCCCATCACTTTAAGATGTTATCAGACCATGATAGACCCTCCCATCTCTCTAATATGTTATTAGACCATGATAGAGCCCCCCATCACTCTAACATGTTATTAGACTATGATAGAGCTCCCCTCCATCACTCTAACATGTTAATAGACCATGATAGAGCCCCCCATCAATCTAACATGTTATTAGACCATGGTAGCACCCCCATCACTCTAACATGTTATGAGACCATGATAGAGGCCCCCTATCACTCTAACATGTTATTAGACCATTATAGAGACCCCCCCCATCACTCTAACATGTTATTAGACCATTATAGAGACCCCTATCACTCGAACATGTTATTAGACCATTATAGAGACCCCCATCACTCTAACATGTTATTAGACCATGATAGAGATCCCCATCATTCTAACATGTTATTAGACCATTATAGAGCCCTCCATCAAGCTAACATGTTATTAGACCATTATGGAGCCCCCACCGCAGTCGAACAAGTTATTCGACCATTATAGAGCACCCCATCACTCTAACATGTTATTAGACCATGATAGAGATCCCCATCATTCTAACATGTTATTAGACCATTATAGAGCCCCCCAACACGCTAACATGTTATTAGACCATTATACAGCCCCCACCGCAGTTGAACAAGTTATTGGACCATTATAGAGCCCCCCCATCACTCTAACATGTTATTAGACCATGATAGAGTCCCCCATTACTCTAACATGTTATTAGGCAATTATAGAGCCCACACCCCAGTCGAACAAGTTATTCGACCATTATAGAGCCTCCCATCATTCTAACATGTTATTAGACCATTATAGAGCCCCCCATTACTCTAACATGTTACTAGACCATGATAGAGTCCCCCATTACTCTAACATGTTATTAGACCATGATACAGCCCCCACCGCAGTTGAACAAGTTATTCGACCATTACAGAGCCCCGCAGCACTCTAACATGTTATTAGACCATTATAGAGCCCCCCATCACTCTAACATGTTACTAGACCATGATGGAGTCCCCCATTACTCTAACATGTTATTAGACCATGATAGAGCCCCGCATCACTCCAACAGGTTATTAGACCATAACAGAGCCCCCCCCATCATTCTAACACGTTATTAGACCATGATAGACCCTCCCATCTCTCTAATATGTTATTAGACCATGATAGAGCCCCCCCATCACTCTAACATGTTATTAGACCATGATAGAACCCCCCCATCACTCTAACATGTTATTAGACCATGATAGCACACCCCCATCACTCGAACATGTTATTAGACCATGATAGAGCCCCCTCATCACTCTAAAATGTTATTAGACCATTATAGAGATTCCCATCATTCTAACATGTTATTAGACCATGATAGAGCCCCCCATCACGCTAACATATTATTAGACCATAAGAGACCCCCATCACTCTAACATGTTATTAGACCATGATAGAGCCCCCCATCACTCTAACATGTTATTAGACCATGATAGAGCGCACCCCCATCACTCTAACATGTTACTAGACCATGATAGCTCCCCCATCACTCTAACATGTTATTAGGCCATGATAGAGCCCCCCATCACTCGAACATGTTATTAGACCATGATAGAGCCCCCCATCACTCTAACATGTTATTAGACCATGATAGAGCCCCCCATTACTCTAACATGTTATTAGACCATGATAGAGCCCGCTCATCACTCTAA